TACTGATTAATATTAATAAATCATCTTTATACTTGAATACTATTTGAAGAATATTAAGTAATTAATTCATTGAAATAAGTATTTAAAGATAAGTAGTTTATGATTTTAATTCTACTGATTAAGATTAATAAATTATTTTTATACTTATTTACTATTTGTAAGTTATTAGGTAATTAATTAATTATAAATAAGTATTTAGAGTTAAGTATTTATGTTTATTGTTTTAATTCTACTGATTAACATTAATAAAACATCTTTATATTCACTAACTGAACAAAATAATTTAAAAGTTATTAGATAATTAATTAATTGTAAATAAGTATTTAGAGATAAGATTTATAGATAAAAGGTGGATTCAACAGTTTATAAAACTAATCGGCATCATCGATATGTTGCACTTAAATCGATTAAAAATTCCAATAAATGTATTGAAAATTTTTTGCAAGAATTGAAAATGTATTGTGATATTGGGTACGAGAATCCTTCGCTTTTACATTGTCATTGAATATCAAGACATCCGAGCGGAGAATACTTGATCGTCATGAAATACGCGGAGATGGGTTCTTTGCATGATAATCTTCGTGATATATCAAGAATAGAATGAAAAGAAAAATTAAACTATTACGTTGTATTTTTAGTAATCTCGAATCGATTCATTCTCAAGAACTTATTCATAAAGATTTATATAATGGAAACATTTTGCAAGATCAGTTATACAAATGCGTACATCACAGACCAGAGACTCACATCCAACACATATGACGTGGAATCAAACAACAAGGCTATGGGTGTCTTGACTTACGTAGCCCCCGAAGTTTTACAGTCAATCGTTCACACAAGCAGCAGATATCTATAGGTTGGGAATAATCATGACAGAAATAACAACAGGAACGAGGGCTTTTGATGGAATTATATTTGATATTAATTCTCAATGAAAATCTGTGGAAGAGAGCGACCAAAGATCGCGCCTGAAACACTGGATCGTTATCTCGAATTAGTCAAACGATACATTGACGCAGACCCGAAAAAAACGACATACCGCGACCGTCATTAATCACAGGATCGGTTATTGGCTGGATGAGATGGACCAAGACGGTGGAAACGAAATCAAGAAGCAATTTTCGGATGCCGACAAGGTCAAACTAGAATCGACCGAACCGAAACCATTAATGTACACTAGCAAACTCATAAATTGTCAACAGATATTAGAGGAATTCAAATGAAGTTCCCTATATAGATAGAAAAGAAAAATAAATTGTTAATAAAGAGTTTATATTTCAAATTAAGACCTCAATTTCCAGCTTCATAAATACAGTATTCCAATATCATATTTTACCAATTCAAACAATTATGTTTATATCGGAGTATAATTTAGCTTAATGATACATGTAGCTATCCTCTCCAAAATAACTGATTTAAAGAGAATGTGATGAAAATGGGAATGTGTATGTAGTTTACTGAATAATTACACCCCTTTTTTTATCTGTAATAAGTTATGTATTATTACGCCTAATCTAAAATATAAAAAAAATTTTGTCGTTTTTGACCCATATTATGTGAAATACAAATTATTTAAAAGGTAAAAAAAAAATACATCCCGTAGAACATTACTAGAGACTTATACGAAGTTAGTAATGTTATATTACATATTTGAGTTTACTTAATACCGCGATACAAATTAAAACTATCATAGAACAAGAAAAATCATTTATAAAATGAGAACTTAAGTTTTATTCTTCGATATATGATATTGATCATTGCACTGAATTTGTAACCACGTATTATCCATAGTGATATGCGAACTTTAATATAGCAAGGTAACAAATTTATAAATAAGACATTTTTTAAATTAATAAAAAATTTAAAATTTCGATTTTAAAGATATATAATAGAAATAGGAAATTTTATTTCATTTCCCCTTAAAATAAACTCTCTAAGAACAAGGATGTTTATTTTTTTGATAATGAGTTGGGTTTTGGAGTAAAGTTTTTCAGGATATTCGACTTATAATATTAAAAAAACTGTAAACATTTGGATTAAGAAAAATTTTTTCAGGATATTCGACTTAAAATATAAAAAAACTGTAAACATTTGGATTAAGAACCTTCTTATTATTGCTTTGCTCGAACTCTAACCTAGTTCTAATCCTTGCTCTAAATTAAGATGTTATTAATGCTAAAGTACTAAGATTGCGATAATTATAACGATAAGAAAGCTACTGCATTAATGATTTTAAAATAACACTAACTTCTAACGCAATTTATTTATGAATAGCAGATTAGCCAATGAGATATATATAACTTTATCGTGTTAAATAAGTGGATCATGCAGAGTGACGCAATATATATATTATGAAACATATGTACAAACAAAAAAGATCGTCAATTGGATTTTTTGTACGTACCTTTCGATTTTAACTTTGACATTTTTTAATGTTAAACAAAAAGATAGTTTTATTTTACCGTTAAGTTTTTAATAACTATGATACCTTCATTAGATTTTGATGTTTTAAGCATCATAATCTCACAAATTCAATTAGAAGATCCATATGATTATAAATCATTATATAATTGCATTTTAGTTAATAAAAAATGGTGCGAAGCAGGGATACCTATTATTTGGCAAAATCCATTTACATTTAATGAAATTTGTTTAAAATATCCAATAAGTTCAGGAAAAATTATAGAAATATTATTATCATGCTTTAATAAAGCACAAATTACTGAATTATATAATAATATACAAACCGAATTTCCAATTTTTTTTGAATCAGAAACTTCATCAAATTTATTTAAATTTTTACAAAATTTTAATAAACCAACTTTCAATTATCCTTTATATATAAAATCTTTATCATATAGAGGATTATTTATATCTTCTATAATGTGGTTTAAATTATCACCTTATAATATTCATTTTGAAGATCAACCTTCGAATCAAATTTTTCTAAAATTAATAATAAGATCATTATTAAAATTATTCATTTCAAATCAATTAAAATTTAAAAGAGTTGTAATTGAAGGGATGAATGATAATCAATTTAAATTTAAAAGAGGTATAATTGAGGGAATGAACGATGAAGCTTATTGGTGGGAGTATTATGTTTGTTCTAAAATGTTATTTGAACAAGAATTTAAATCATTATTTAAAAATATACGGAAATTGGATATTGAAGGAATTGATGAAGATCAAGTTGAAGATATGGTTAATGGATGGAAAGATTTTGTGAGTTAAAAAATTATCATAATTTATGTAAAATTGATGATTTTTTATTATATTATTAAAAATAGATAACCTAACATTATATATTAATTTAGTCAACATTAAAAACCTTAAAAGTCCAGATAAACAAACATTTTTCGACAATACTTTCCAATACACCTTTTCTTAGAAAAATTTATATAAATAGAGGAGACATTAATTTCCTTCTCCCCTTGTTAGCATCACCAATTCCCTCAAGAACGTTAACATCTATAACATTACATAATGTTAAATTCGATAAATCTGATCGATGGGAACTTTTATCTTCTTTACACAACCTTGAAAAATTAAAGTTAATTGTCTGTTGGATCCATCCAGATGTAGATTTTGATGCTAGACAAGATATGATTTTAAAGGTTACAAATGTTAGATTTAAGAAATTGAAATTATTTGTTTGTGCAAATGAAAATGACAATGGAATGACTATTGAAGATGAAAGTAAAACATTATTGTTACAATGGGGTGTATCACAACATGCTTTGGTGGTTAGTGAAAATTTTGAAGATAGTCGAGTGAGGGTATTTCATGAATCTTTAGAACGAGGTGCGTATTAATCGTTGTTTATATATGAAAAAAATTATTGATATTTGATATTGTTATTAATATTAAAAAAATAATAATAAGTTAATCTTGTAGGTGTCGAAGGTGTAAGAGTTAAACGTAACCTTTATCAAAATTATATGAAACTTGTTAAAAAAGCTCAAAGAGAACAAGAACAAGAGAAAAATAAAACTTGAGAAAATTATATTTGAAAAAGCGTAAAATTTAATGAATAATATAGTTTGTTCGTTAAAAAAAAATGCATTTTCATTGTTACCACAGTAAAATATTTTATTCTGTTATGATACATACTAAAAAATTTGTTTATAGTAACGAAACCAAAATATTTTATATAATTAAAAAAAAAAATTTTTTTTTATTATTTTTTTTAACGTCTTATTATGAATGATAATAAAAATAAAACGTTATCTATTGAATAACAAAAACCACAAATTATATGTAAATCGGAAATAAACGTATAGTTGTATTAGATATGCAGTAGAAATAGTTAAAAGCTTTTATCGTAACTAGTTACGACATAAACCGTAACAGTTTCTACTGCATCTCAAGTCGTATTAATCGCTATACAACATGTACTGTACATAGTCCTATATTCACAACCTGTGTTTTACTGTAATTCTCGTCTCTTTCGCATTATTTAGTATTTTTTTATAATGAACTTGGTAAAAATTTTAATTTTTATAATATTAGATAACTAGATGGAGCAATAAGAATTACTCAGTACTTGCAAAATTCTCTAAAAAATACTGTATAAAAAATTGATTTAAATTCAGTGCTTTATATATGTGGCTATAATACTTTTAAAATTTATTGCTGTGATGTAATTATATACACTGCACTATAACCCACCCTAGAAACATGCTTCCCAAAAAATTATTAATTTTATCATCCGTGAATTAATTATTTTAATCACCTAACTGTAACCGTAATTTTTAAATATACAAATGAACTTTCTATCTATTAGTCAATAACATCTTTTGTTCCGTTGTTTTAAGAAATTCCTTCCTTGCCTTTTATATAGGTATTTTGGAATCTACAATATTCTCGGGACCGCTTAAATAATAATCAGCTTGTCAAAATCAATTTATCCTAAATGATCATGCTTTACAACTTATTATTGGCTGATTGAGTTTTGAGTTTATTACGTTTATAGTCATAAAAAAAACCATGATCTGTCTGGGGCTTGTAGGAAAAAGGGAGTGTGGCTTGTTGCCGGATTAGGAATTAGGCTTGGAAATCGAAACGTATACGTTGTGGGCTATGGGATACGACGGTCAAAACGTATACGTTGTCG